AAAAAAAACAAAAAAAAACCCATAACACAGTGACAATGGTCAGCTGTCACACTTTTTTCTTTCATTTTGTTTAAGAGATGGGGTCTCACTGTGTTGTCCAGGCTGGAGTGCAGTGGCTATTCACAGGCTCGAGCTCAAGCAATCCTCCTGCCTCACCCTCCCAAGTAGCTCGGCCTACAGGCATATGCCAGTGTACCTGGAGACGTACTTTTTTCATGCTGACATTTTTTACCTTAAATAGTCCCAGATGGTGGCAAACATTCTACGTGAGGTGGACAGTCAGTCAATGACTGGTGAAACACTTTGAATGAAATTGTGAGAGTCACAGTGCGTACTCTAAAACATCACTCCTTAACACTTTAAAAGCAACGTGTGAATGCTTGAATTAAAACATAAAGAAAGGCTTTCATTTCTTCCCTTGACTCATAGAACTGAAGACAACTTCAAGAGACTGTTTTAGTGTAAACCATTTTATCCAGAAAAAAAATTGCTCCTAAAGCTTCCAGCACAGGCAATTCTGTCCCACCCAGCTCTCCTGAGGGACAACTGTCCCATTATTAAAAATGAGAAATGTGATATGTGTGCCTATAGTCCCAGCTACTCGGGATGCGGAGGCAGGAGGATCACTTGAGCCCAGGAGCTGAGGCTGCAGTGACCCATGACTGCGTCATTGCACTGTAGCCTTGGTAATGGAGCAAAACCCTGTCTCAACACCACCACCACCACTACCTAAAATGAGAAGTAACAGTATATCTTCAGTTAACCTTTTTTCTGCTTTTGAAAAATTCCACCAATTTCTACCAATTGTTCTTTGCACTCTGAGGCTGAGCCTCTTCCACAAGACAAAGTGTCAGAGATTAAGCAAGTGGGGAGGGAGGAAGGGGAAATGAGCACTGGTGGGAGACTGTGGCAGGGTTATGGTCGGTTAAGGAAGCAACCACTAAAGAGGCATTAGCCGACAGATACCCAGGCTCTCCTGCCACCTGCTCAGCTTATTAACCATGCAGTATCTTAGTCAGTATCATCCAGTCGCTTTCTTTCCCAAATGGAACCACTAGAGAAGCAGCAGTAATAATGCTTATATCCCCCGAGGTCTGGCCACCACCTGCTAGAATCCAAGTCTCTTCACTACAACAAAATGAAGAGTCGAGCACTAAATCTCATATAAGGGAAGTGAAAGCCTTGAACCAAAGTCTTCTCAAGGAAGAACCAGGCCAGGCATGGTGGCTCACGCCTGTAATCTCAGCACTTTGGGAGGCCCAGGTGGGAGGATTGCTTGAGTGCAGGAGTTTGAGATCAGCCTGGGCAGCATAGTGAGACCCCATGTCTATTTTTTATGTAAAATTAAAGAGAAAAAAAGAGAATAAACCCAGGCCCGTAATACAGCAAACCCACAAGGTTTTTGGAGTACAGCCCATTGCTGGGGATGGGACTTACCAATTTGTAGTTCCGGGTAGATTTCATAAAGACACCAGTCTACATTGCAGTCACAATGAGTTTTCTCGAAAAGGTTGTCCAGAACATCTCGGGCTAGCTGCCGCTCATCCACCATCAGTGACTTTGTGCTGTTGTCGTCCATGTGCACCTTGACGACCAGCTGAGGATAGAACCATGAGGCAGCCAGTAAATTTCAGCAACTGGAGAAGGCTACTAAGATAAAGGTTTCAAAGTTGCTACTGTTTCTGCAAATTTATGTGAGAATGTGTTTGGTGAACTTGCTCCATCTAAACTCACTTGCATGCCAGGCACTTGTTTTAGGCGCTAGGATTATAGAGGTGGAGAAACCAATTCACAAAAAGAGAAAACAGATAATAAACAAAGTCCTTGTTTAGCCTTCAGAGACAGGGCATTCTGGTGGCAGAGACAGAAAACAAAGAGAACAAAAAAAGTGCTAGCTTCTTTCTTTCCCAATAATCTTTCCCTTTTCTTATTCCATCCTGGAGCCCAGAAACTTTTCTAGATTAAAAGCTATGCCTGTATCTTTATTATTACTATTATTATTATTATTATTATTATTATTA